GGCCGCTCCCTGCAGGGCGAGTTCGTGCACGACGACGTGTGGGCGATCGTGAACAACCCCGATGTGCGGCCGGGCGCCCCGCTCCGCTGGGGCATCTTCACCAACGACTTCTGGGGCAAGGGCATGGCCGAGAACACCAGCCACAAGTCCTACCGGCCGCTGTGCGTCCTCACCTTCAAGTGAGTCCCTCTCCTCGCGCTCGCTGCCGCCGCCTTCCCCGAGTCTCACTGCTTCTCCGGGCCAGGAGAAGTTCCAGGACTGGCTTTTTTGCCGCCCTTTCCCTCCACGCCTCGGTTTTCTGCAGCCTGTCCACACTACTCAGCGCTCGGGTCCTGCTCTCGTTTCTCTGGGCTCCTGGGGCGGTTTGGGAGGCTAGAGCTGGGGAGTTGGGATCGAGTTTCTCAAGTGTGTGCGCTCTGGGCGGGCTTCTCTGGGCCGGGCTAGGGGCCAACTGATGAGGCCCCGTTGCACCCCAGCCCTTGCCCGGTGGCTGCCAAATGGGACCAGCGCGGGTCCACTGGGTTCCTGAGGGGTGGCGGCGGTGGCGATGCTTCCAAGTTGGGAATTTCTCAGAAGCTGTTGGGTAGCTTTGCCGAGGAGGAGTGTGTCAGCCCCTCTGGGAACGCATTAAGATGGGAGGAGGAAGGAGCCTTGAGCTGCTAGGACTGCGTAGGTTTTGGGAAAAAGCAGGGAAGAGAGAAGATTCTCCTCACGCCACTCACCCCGACCTTCTCCCTCTTGTCTGCTCCCAGAGCTTCTCCAGTCTGCCAAGCAGCTCTGGAAATGGACTTGAGAAGGTGCAAAGCAAAGGAATGCAGACGCGTGGAATCCCCCGCGGATCTTGGGGTCCCCGCTGAAATAGTTTTTCTTTTACAACCTCAGAGTCATGATTCAGCATTTCTAGTGTGAATAAGTGTAAAGGGAACCGAGAGTACACTAGGATTTTATAGGAGAGTATTTTCTTGAATTTGAAAAGAGGGCTAGTACAGAAAGGAGAGAAGGGCTGATTTGAAAGAAGTGCTATCTTCTACATCACTAGCTGATGACTCCACCCCTTATAATTTGGCAGCACTTAAGCTTGTTTCAATGCGCCGGACAGAAACTGTTGAAATAATATTGTTTCAGTATTATCAGCATTTTAAGTGTTTTCCAACGGGTGTAATAGGAACTGGGGTTTATGGTAATGATCATTTGAGACTGGGTTGGAGTTTGAAAGCCTGTTCTGGCCTGCTGGACTAGGTCTCCTTTGACAGGTGGCTCTGATGACTTAGAAAAGGGAACCATGGCAATTGGCAACAATTCATGAGCTTCTGACTTAATCCTTCCACTGAAAGTTTAATGTTTTAAAGAGGGTGAGAAAATACACATTTGACTCTCGAGAAAATAATTTGTAAACACTGACCTCTTGAAAAGTGGTAGTGGTTTTCAATGGAAGGAACTTTAGCCACTGAGTAAGTTCCTCCCTCTCTGGTTTTCCAAATATTTCTTAGAATTTCTTTAGATAGCCCAAATATAAATGTTTCACTTTTAGATGGACCTTAATTTTATTATGTGAGCATTGTTGATAGATTTTAAATATGAGGTACGCTAGACTTATAAAAACCACTGCCCTGGTCCCTGGGTTGAGCATTTTCCATAAAAAAAAAAAAAAAAGAAGAAGAAGGTTTAAATTCCTTTATCCACTTGCTGGAGGTGAGGGAGAATGTTTTCAGGTCTTCCTAAAAATTTTAAATTCACAGTGGAGATGGCAGGGACAGAGGAGAGAGGGATGGAGGAAGGGACTAAGTAAGGGGGCAAAGCCATTGATAAAGAGAAGTAATGGGGTTGGCAGAATAGGGGCAAAGAAGGGAAAGAGGTGAAGAAACTTTTCCTTTCTAGTAAT